CGTAACAGATGCACTATTACCTTTGATATTTGGTTTAGTGATCTTCATTGTTATTTTGACTTTCAATATGTCCTTTTAACTTGACCTAAGTCTATTTTCTCACCTCTTAACTCTTTGTTACATATATGCTGAGATTTTGTAAATTCCAGTTTAATAATACTTTGATAAAGCTCTTAGCCTCAAATAGCGAAACGTCAGTTTTGTTTTGTTTTTCATTCATTGGGAAATACAAAAAGCTTTATTATAAGACTTTTTTGTAGATGAAGAAAGATTTTCAGGCAAACGCTAGAAAGTCAGTATCACACTTCATCAGTTCAAGTATAGTCAAAATCATTGATCTAACAGTTAGTGTTCATCTAAATTTTGGCCACTTAATCGAGATCATCTTTCAAAGATATCGGATTTTGATGAAAGTGTCAAGGAATGAATCAATTTTTCTCTAAATTCCTTGGTCAAATTGTTCTACCAAAGATAAAAAGTATCCTGAGGAAAAGAAGCTCTAAAGTTGAATTATTGAACTGCTTAGAATACCTCAATAAGTTAGTGCATTTAGTTAGAAAAATGAGGTAACAGATAAATGTGTTTTACTAAATATTGTGTAACAAGAGACAGTACTGCTTTCCTCAAGACCTTTATTCTTCATTGGAAACACCAATGTCGATCGATTACTTCACATTGAAGTTTCCCAAGAAATAGGGAATCATTCGTGAAGATGCTTCGTTTTTAAGAATTTGACATTTAAACTAAGATAGTTGGGTAAAGTAATCAAGTTTGCCAATCAGCATTCACCAAATAAAAGAATGATCCACCAGAACTCTTTGTTACGCTTCTGGGCAAATAATGTTTGCATTACAACAGAAAACAAGCTTAAATCACTAAAAAAAACGCTTCTGAAGCATAAATAGTTATGAAAATATACATGACTGCCTTTTGAGTTTTTAATGATTAGTTTGCATATGTAAACAACTGGTGATAGATCTCGGTGTCGCATCAGAGAGTAATACCATTCGATCGTGCCATTTGTCTAGTAGAGATGAAATGGCAATGAATCCTGTATGAAAAACGAAAATAAGATACGTTAAAACATTGATAAATAGAGAGGACTGCACAACTGTTTCGTCCTATTTTGGGACTCATCAGTATAGCGTACTGACAAACCCATCAGGTGTTCAACCCAGGACCTTCAGGCTACAACGTGAGCTGGTATAACAACATTTAACCACCCGGACGGAATCCAATGGCCCATGGAATCTAACTTCTGCCAATTCGCAAAATATAGCACGACCACCAGTTAATGTTATCAGTGAGTGTTTATCCTCAAAATCAATTTTGATGAACACCACTGCTTCCAGCTTCCAACCAGAACTTCAGGCGACTTCATCCTATAGTCAGTCACTGGTATGCAGTAGGTGGATCTTGGGAATTAAGTAATTTCATGCGTTTAGTCCTAAGTGTTGGTGCAGATTGAATGTTGCTAGTCAAGTCTGCAATGTGGCCACCAAGACAGGTGACGCCTCATAGCAGTACACTGTGAGATGTAGGCAGACGTTGCTTAAGAGTACCAGGAAGCCAAAAACCTAGGGGCCGGGCATCTTGTCCATTGCTACTGACCATCTAACACCTCTACACTCTCTTTGTTTTTGTGATAACAACTTATCACTTTAAAATAATAGAAAAGATTTGTAACTCAGGTGAATGATTTGCACTTAATAGTGTTCTCTGAGCTGGTTGGTTTGGTTGGCATAATGTCAAAATCTTAGACAGAGGAAACACCAAATGTGCCAGGGGATTCCTAGAAGCCTGGTACTCAACCGAAAATGCAATTAATAAACACGTTAATATAGATGAAATATACCAACTAATAAAAAGTAAATCGGGTGATCAGAAAGTTTAAAATCACAATCAATAGAAAACGGTCAATACATATCTAAAGATGGTTACCGGGAGACGCGATTACATCACTCATGAAGAAATTTAAATCATTTCACTTTGTCTTAAATACTGCGCTGAAGATGTCGTCCAGAATGACGATGAAAGCTCCGCAACTAAACCAACCAGGTCAGAGAACCCTATTAATTGCAAAACTTGTCACTTTTTTCGTTGATGAACCCCTTCCCTATTCTTCCAGCCTATCATTATTCTGTTCTCCTTTGAAGGATAAAAGTGTCACATTTTTATGAAATCAACCTTAAATTCCGGATTAAAAATATGACGAACACTAAAAGTAGACTAAGATGAACTACATATGAATAATATTTCTTTTCCATGTTAAAGTGACTGACAGACAAATCAACAGATATAAGCGTAAACTTTTATCGATATTAGATGGTTGGAGGCAATTGGCCAAAGGAAGCCTTCGACCTAGGTTTCGTGCTAGTTGGCACTCATCGGTGCAACTTTGAAGGAACTCATGTCCGTTCTGAGATTCGAACCAGTATCACTCAGTGCTGCGGTCAGAGATCTAACCACTGAGCTCTTTATTGGCTAAGTAAAGCAATCTACTTCACCACGCAACGCTAAATGAAACAGAATCAATGTTGACGTTAGGATAAAGATCGTTACTTCATGATATGATACTAATCTATACCACCATCAACATACTGAATGCTTATGGAACTTGGATTACTAGCTTGAAATCAGTAAGAACATTGACATCGGCTCATGGAAACTATCGCTGATCTTCTTTCTGAACAAAATTCATCAACATCTGTGTATTATACATCTTATCGTCGCTCATTCCTCTGTTTTCTGTTATTTTTGTCACACAGCTGAATTGTTCGATCACATGAAATTACTTTTACCTCAATACTTCTTGTTGACTTCATTCTTTGATGTTCCAGTTCAAAGTACGATAGATGTGATCTACAATAAATAACTCCGAGGTCATGTTTCAGGTACATATGTTCTCTCTCTCTGTCATATATAATGGCATTCGCTTTTGGTCGACACTTTAATACTGCTATGCTTTATGACTGACTACCTGACTGAGCTTCTCGCAGAAGTGTAGCAGTTCAAGTTTCCACACTCCATATAACAGGCAAAGGTAGAAAAAAGGGAAAAAGTTATTCAAGAGAAGTTTAATAGGGAAAATGTACTAAGGAAAGACTAGTAAAATGGAAAAGCGCCAGGATTTAATTGATATGGAAGGTTAAAAAGAGGAGTGAATGCATCTGTACAAGTGAGAACAATTCTTAGCCATATCACCAAATGTCACTAGCCACTGATTCTTAGCAACTTGAGGACCGCAACCGGGAAGTCTGCACCTCCCTATATGAATGGCTCAGACCAACAGTCAAATACATCATGGATTGATTCCAAGTTTCGATCTGGTCACCGATAACTCCCTAATAAGGTAACCTTTTACCATCTAATGGTGCTCGTCATGGAATACGATGGCTTGTCATGAGTAATAAGTGTCCAAGTCCCCTCAGCTGATGCAGCTTCACAACTTCATAGATTGACTTCCCTTCCTAACTTAGCAATCTACACCTAACCTAAATGTTGCTCAACATATTGCACCAATTAACATTAGACAAAGAACGCTAAGAATTGTGGTCATATACAGCTAGCATTCCCATATCTTCAAGTTTCAATGGACATATCTCACAGCCATATAGAAGGACAGAGCGAAAGTGCTGAGCATTGCACACATCCTCTGATCAGTAGCTGGAAATCACATCCACGTCATAGACGATTTAAGTTGGTAAATGCCATATCAGACTCTTATATCCATGCTGACATTTAGTAAACAATCATCTGATTAGGGTTGGTGAAACTCCACATCTAAGTGAAGTGATCAGGACGCTCAATCACTCTATTCCTTATCTTTAAAGAAGGAGTTAGTTCAAACTAGTCCTGTGGCATCACCCTAAATTTGACAAGAGTAAATCGCATGCTCAAGATTTTCAGAAACTCTTTGAGAAAAACACTATGCATTCAAAAACGTTCGTACAGCCATTATCCCTTCCTTGTTGGCCTATTAAGACATAACCAACTAATGACTTCTACACCACCCCTTGTTTTTAATTTCAACCCCTTTCCTATCCTCCCTTAATCTAATCACATCTTCATTATAAACGTGTTTCATTTACTTCCCTTACAATCTACCATTACTTAATCAATTCATTTGTTTTTTTGTTTTTAAAGCATGATTCCACACTGTATTTTCGGTACAAGTATGGAATTTTCAGCATGGATATCGATAGCCCAAGTTTTGCTGGCCGATCATTGATATCAGGTGTTTGTCGGCAGGGGATCGAACCTCGGACCATATGTATGGTCGGTGAGAGTCCTAACCTCTGTGCCATCGACTACTTCCACCTGAACAATTATTTGTTTAATCATACTGTTTTTTCATTATTCGTGTCATCACAGATTGCCTCATTTTTTCATCCTTATTATTGATAAGACCATTTTTACTATTACTATTATTCTCATCATCACTACTATTATGACTAATTGCACAACTTATATGCACCATCTTATTATCCTATAGACAAAACGCCATGATTGGTTTATATTTGAATTTTTATTTGTAAACTTACATATATTAGGGTTAAGCCTGATGAGATCTAATGGAAAACAATATTTTTCGCTTAAATGTGTTATTCTAAAACAATATTTAACGTTATATACATGTGTGAGGATGGATTTCCCACCGATGGTATTGGTTGGTGGTCATTCTAAATCAGGAATTGGTAGAAGTTTGAATTCACGGGGCATTGAATCGGGTCGTTGTGGCTGAATGTTATACCAGCTTGCCTTGCAACCGAAAGGCCCTAAGTTCGAGGTCAGGTGATGGTTTCATATCGTTGATGATTCGCGAACTAGGATGCATGGAACAGCTACCCAGTACTTCCTGGTTTTCAATGGTTCTCTAACTGATATCAATCTATGGTCAAACTCATAAAAACAAATTTAACGTTTACAAACCATTTCTTGAAAATTATACACAAACGCTAGAAAACAATAATTTAAATAACTTTTCAACTAATACTTACTTCCCGTCCAGTTAATAAATGTATTGCTAATTTAACTTTTGCAAAATTCCCCTGTCCAATTGTACGTATAATTTTATATTTACCAATTCTATGCACAGGATTTATATTAGGATTAACTTGAGATTGTACATCGTTCATTGATCTTTGAACACATTTTTGTTTTTGCTGTTGTTGTTGATGTTGTTGTTTTACTGAATCCAAAAAATTGCATGTTGAACTATTTAAATTTTTAGAATTATCAATGAATAATAATCCAGAATTATTTACATTTGTTTGTGTAGTTTTAAAAAGTTCACTTTCATGTCTATTCATGATTTTGCTTGTTGTTTTTTGTTTGTTTTTCTTTTAGTCTTTATTCAGATCCCATGTTCCAGTATGTTTTCATTGTTAATAAATATATAAGGTTGAATGAGAAGTGATCAAAACCTTGATTATTCTGATGATGAGTAGATTTCTTTTTCTTTTATTCAAATCGTTTGAATGTGAAGGCGTAGTTATTTAGGGAAAAAACAGGGGAATACAATTGTTCAGTATTGACCTTTATTTGTTGTACTCAGTTATTATTATTATTATTTACACGTGTGTTGTGTACTTTGTCAGATTTCAGCTGATGTGAATAGAATAGAGTAATGGAAGTGTAGAATACCCGACTTACTCATCTAATCAATAGCAAGTTTTCAAAATACTTTTCTATTCTCTTCTCTTCTAAATGTGTTATAAACTAATTAAATTTGTTTATGTAGGCGGATGTTTGAATCAAATGAAAAATAATAATAATAAATTGAATACAGAGTGTGTGTGTGTGTGTATGTGTGTATTATAAAATAAATAATACATATATGTGTAATTAGCTCTGTGTATAAGTGTGTACATGAATATACATACTTCTGAAAAATGACACCTAAAGTGTGGGATTAACGAGAATTTTTTTCCTTAATATTATTTCTTCATTTTTAATCTTTTACTCGCCAATCATTTTTAGGGCTAAAAAAACATATATGACACAAGTATTTTGTGTTTTCAATGATGATTTAAAACAAAGCTAATGCACATGCATCACGGAATATATATATATATATATATATATAAATACATGCACACATAGAGCTTGGAACTGAACAATAAGACAACTTGTTTCTGTTACGCTCCAAATTCAAAATTTGACGTGTATTGTATTTCGCTGACTTAACTGTCAGTTAAAATGCAGAATGTGTTCAATCTTTAAAAAATAAAATACAACTCAACATTAAGTGATCAGGAAATGTCAATAAAAGGATAGTACTTTCCTTTATTACAAATATTATAATTACTCATTATTTGTGTTGTCCCAGTGGACCACATAGTTAACATCTTTGTTGATAGGCATTTGACTTAGTGGAATAAATTTGCTAAAGGGATTTTGTCTGACTTGGAGCATCCACTTTACTTACCCTCAGCTTTCACCTTGTATCTCCTCCTCAGGTAGAACAAGAATTAACTTCAGAAAACTGTATGCTCGCACGTCTAAGTATAAAAATTCTATGATACCATACTTGGCACGTATTTTATGTGATGAAAATAGTGTCAGGCAAGAATTAACTAACATTTTTTCATCTAGTAAATAAACAATTTCCTCTATCCATCCTTATATACCTTCAAGTTTTAATGGTATACCTGCCATTGTTCTAAAGAAATGTGCTGATATTTTAAGTAACCCACTTACAAGCATTTTCAATACTTCTTTTTCCAATTATGTTGTACCTTCTCTGTGGAAAGATATTAAAATCATCCCTGTACCCAAGTCTGGTTCTGGAGATAGTGTTAAGTTTAGACCAATTGCCATTACCTCTCCTTTTTTGAAACTGATGGAGAAATTACTGTTACAAAAACTCATTCCCTCCCTAAGCTTCTCAAACGATCCAAAGCAGTTTGCTTACAAACAGGGTAGAAGTACTTTGGATGCTGCTGCTGTGTTTCATCACAACATTGTATCCTCCTTAGACAAAGGGGCCAAGTATGTCCGTTGTACTTTCCTTGATTACACATCTGCTTTTGACTCTGTACCTAGAGGCCTTTTGTTAAACAAGCTTAGCCTTACACAAACTGAGTCCTGGGCTATCAACTGGCTGCACTCTTACTTCTCCAATAGGATGCAGTACACGGTATATAATGGTGTAGCTTCCTCTCCTTTGCTTACTGAAGCTGGTGTTCCTCAGGGTGCTGTTCTCTCGCCGTTTCTCTTTTCCTTCTTCTTACATGACTTACCTCTCTCAGACGAAATCAACTTCGTCAAATATGCAGATGACCTGACTGTTTCGCTTCCCGTTAAGTCTCAGTCAGACTGCTTCAAATTAAATAGCTTCCTGTCGGACATCAGTCAGTGGTCTAAACTAAATGGCCTCATGCTGAATCCCTCAAAATGCCAGACTGTCGACTTCTCCTTTAGGCATAAACGAGATCTACAAACACTAGTAAGCACTCATGATGTCTGTAGAATTGAGGGGACTATAATTGAAACAAAGTCTAATGCAAAATACCTCGGATTAGTTATATCTTCCGACCTTACCTGGTCATCTCATATCCAAATGATTTCCAAGAAAGTGTTTCGTCTAACCTACTACATTAAGAAACTCAGACTAACTGGAGTCCCTCAACCTCTGCTTTCACAATTTGTCAACTCTCGTATCCTACCTATTCTACTTTACTGCTCCCCGTTAGTCTTTCCTGGGTTACTGAAAAAGGACTATACCATCCTGAGAAGGATGTTGAAGGTAGTTAGTAGGACTAGCGGTGTAAAACTCAGTCAGCTCGTCACAACATTAGTGGATAAGCATCTGAATACATGCGAGAAATGGTCTAAAACCATACTCTCTGACCCCCAACACCCCCTCTATTCCCAACTCTCTCCTTGCATCTCATCAGGTAGAACCAGAAATCAGTACAAAATAATATATGCTCGTACAACCAAGTATAGGAACTCAACGATACCATATTTGGCCCGTGTTCTAAGTGACAGAGACAATGTTAAGCGTGAAACCTATGACTTGCTTTGTTGTTAATAACATAATTTTGGCCCTTGTTATTTCCCCCTTATACTCTCTTATTTGTACTCTATAGTGAACAACCTTCTTAAACATACTTAGGTACCTAATATTATTATCATTGGCTTACTTTTTTGTACTTTACTCTATTCCTTCTTTTGTATATCTACTGGGTCCGACTATATTATCACTATGATTATTACAAAATTGTCCCGTCATTAACCATCATGTATTATTAGTTTTGTGGTTGTTCTTTGTTCGGCACTATTTAACTGACAATCTTGTTTGTGAACGCCACTATCACCATCTTAAAAATTTTGTATTATGCATGATTACTCACACTACCACTACAAACACCGCATTAGTGCTGACAATAAAAAAAACACAACCTGAAATGTTTATTTTATGATTGTTCAGTGTTGTTCAATCAAATTAACTGATCATCTTGGCTATAAACATTCTTAAGAACATCTCATAATTTCTTGTGTGATTATAGCTGTTACTGTTCACCACGCATACACATATCATAGCTTCCACTACCCAGTACTGAAATATTTTTTCATCATTGTGTTTATCTTCCTTTCTACTTGGTATTTTTATTTGCATTTTTTCTTCTGTTTTTTTGTTATTTCTGTTTCTTTTTTGGTTTTTTACTGTGTTTTTTTATATTTATTATTTTTTTGTAATACTCCTTTTAAATGTACGATGAAATTAGATGCAATATTGTAGATATGTGCTGAAAATTCCACACTGTACCACAAGTACTGTTTCTGGAATAAAGCGACATTGTTATGTTATGTTATATTTTATTATTCCTATTATATTTATGGTCCTGGTACTTCTTTATTTTACTTTCATAACTGCAAGCACCAACTTATCTCTATGAATGCTGTAATCGTTGTTTTTCCCCTCACCATATCATGTGAAGAGAACATTATATTCAATATTTTTAAATATGCTAGGATTTCTATACCGCATCAACAATACTGTGTGAAACAAGCCCACGGCAATTTCTCACCTGTATTATTATTATTACCTTAGCTGTTATCATTATTATTATTATTTCCATATTATATGCTGCATGTTTTTGACATTACCCCTATTGTAAATGTGGAAAATTTTCTGTGTGATTTTTATTTATAATTTGAGGATATTAGATGCATTATTGTGATTAATACTAGAAATTTCATTCTTTATCGCAAGTACTGTTTTTGGAATAAAGTAAGTCATTATTATTATTCTCAGAGGAACATTGGGCTTCAGCGGCACACTTCCATTTCACTCGGTTCTCTGAGATCACTTACTCCGACGACTATCCATAACTTTTCCTTTCCTATTCATGCGATCTTCTCCAATATCTCCCAAGGACGCCGGATTAGTCAATTTTTCACTCGGTTTACATTTGAGATGTGACATCTGATATTACTTGATTGTCTGCATGTGATGTGACCTATTCGTCTCCATTTTCTTTTTGCGTATTTGTTGGGCAACAGGCTGTTGGCTAATATGCCACCTACCAGAATCTATTTTCATTTAGGCTTTACGATGGGCCATCCGAACTTCAGTATCGAGAGAAAATAGCTCTTGATGAAAGTCTACGACAAACTGCCGGAAATGCATGTGATGATGCGCCAAGTTTTTGAACTACAAAGAAAAATTAGTATTGTGGTGACAGCTGTCTCCTAGACAAATTGGTGGACAGTAATTTACGTCAATGCTTATGTCGCAGATATTAGTCATGTGAAAACAAGAACAAAGACTAACTCAACAACCAGACACAGCAGACTTTGCGTAGGCGGATACAATCAGCAGATAGACGATCTGATCTTTTAGGAAACAGCCACAAAGAGATGAAAGATTAACTTTCAGTGGGAAACAACCAATCAGAAGACTGTCTTTATACTAACAATAATCTATCATAATGTACATAAAAATATATAAATATGTGTTGACTTCATATTAACTGTGATCAAGATTTGACCGGATAGTTGCAAATTCTTAGCCAATATGAAATGAAAGTGGAGCATGGAGTGAAGAATTCGTATGAATTTAAGAGGAAAATAAATTTCACTAATATTGAAGAAGATGAAATAATGGCAAGTTTCGATGTTTATTCATTATTCACGAATGTATCCGTTAATGATTCTTTAAGTATTATTTATAATTTACTTTGTGCTGATGACGAACTCAGTGGTCGTTGTCCTTTAAATCCCGACGAAATTATGAAGGTATTAGAATTGCGTCTTCGATCCACGTTATTTACGTTCAGAGGGGTTCTTTAACGTCAAGCAGGAGGCATTGATATAGGATCACCAGTATCTCCGCTAGTCGCCAATCTGTTTATGCACTCATTAGAAACAAATGCAATTATGAGATGCCCTAGTCCCCCAAAGATGTGGTTAAGATAAGTAGATGATACCTTCATCATAATCAAACGTAGTTTGTTAAGTGAACTTTTTCACTTAATAAACAATATGTCAGAAACTGTCAAGTTTTCCAAAGAGGTTGAATCCGATGAAAATGAGTTGGCGTTCCTGGACTTTTTAGTAAAAACAAAATTAGATGGCAATTTTAAAATAAACATTTTCAGAAAGCCAACAAATGCGGATAGATACCTAGATTACTGTTCAGCTCAGATGATGATATCATCAAGGCGAGGATCGGGAAAGCAAGGCGAGCTTTCATTTCTCTCAATTCTATGCGGAGGTGAATAGCA